CCACCAGGTGGCCCTGGTCCGCCACAGCCCTGCCCAGTGATGTCACCACGTCACCCAGGCCACCGACCTTCAAAAAGGAGGCCGGGCAGTGGTTGCAGAGTTGTGAAGGTGCGAGCAGTACCGCGTCGGCGTACCACACACAGCCAAAATGTCACGGGTTTGCGCCGCGTCCAGCCAGCAGCCTGGCAGCAAGAATAGCCCCAGAAGGGCCTGACGCAGCCCCCCTCCCTCACCTTGGCAATGGGGGCCATCTCCACGGCGATGTGCACCACGTGCAGCGGGTGCGGCTTGGCGCCGACGCCCCCCTCAATGGGGATGTGGTAGTCCAGGCCCCCGCGGTTGTCGTAGGTGCCCTCACCCCCCTCCACGTCAGACAGCACCACGTCCAGCACGTGGGCGTCACGCGGCACCATGAAGGTGGCCTGGCACACGACGGAGGGGAGGGTCAGCACATAGCTCAACAAGGCGACAGCCCCCCACACACACATCCAGGAAATGCTGGCTCCAAACCATGTCCATTTTGCAGACAACAGTGTCCGCCATGAGGGTGCTCAGCTCGGGGCGCTTGAGTAGCGTGGCTGCTGTCCAGCTGAGTCTCCAGCACGCGCCAATCCGCTGCAGGTTGCACATTCTCTCCCCGTCCCCTCCTCACGGTGGTCCTGGGGCCCACCCACCCTGTGGTGCAGGCCGCCCTCCCCAGGGGGCTTCATGGCTGCCGGCCCCAGGCGCCGCAGGTGGCCCCAGCGGTTGAACCCTGCGGTAATGTAGATCTGCTCGCGTCCCGCCAGCGCCGTGGAGGCCGGCGAGTAGTACACCGTCACCTTCTCCCCGGCACGCGGCACCTCGGGCTCGGTGAACAGCACCTGTGGAGGGGGGATATCAGGGGGGCCTTTGAGATCACAAAGGGGCAGCGCTTCACACCACCCACATCATGGCTGCATCTAGGAGTTTTGTATTTGTAAGCCGCATACACGCGTACTGCCTGGGTCACAGCAGGCCTCGCATTAGCCCTGAAAATGAGGCAGCCGCCTTGCCAGCCAACCCAGCCTTGCCCAAGCCAGAAAGACTCACGTGCTTGAGCTGGCGCCGCAGCACTGCCATGGCCTGCTCACGCAGCTGGACCCGCTCAGCCTGGCGCTTGGCCTCCTTCGCCGCAGCAGCACTCTCAAAGGCCTCGCGGCGCGTGCGTGCGGCGTCGCGCAGCTGCTGCAGCAGGCTGTCCGCCCACGCGGCAACGGGGTCTTCCGCGGCCTCAAACTCTGCCGGCCAGGCCACGAGCGCCTTCGGAGGGCGGGCGCAGATACACAGTATAGAGGGGTTGCTGGGCCGATGCCTGATCAGCAGCAGCATGCTGGCGTACAGACACATGCAGATGAACAACATAGCAGCGTCGGCAGCAGATTGATGGTGCAGCCACCCTGCTTCTGCACCTCTCTGCAAAGCCCTGCCACCTTACACCCTAGAGACCATCCCCCCCTCCCCGCACCGACACACACGCGCACCTTGTGATCAGCGCCGTTGTTGTTGTCCCAGCAGTCCCCAGAGTTGACGCAGAAGGACAGGGCCGCTGCGGTCGCCGGCACGTCGAACGCCGCCTCCCACCACAGCTCCCCCTCTGCAGCCTGAGAGTCGAGGCGCAAGCAGTCGTGGGATGGGGTGAGCTCAGGTGGCGGAGAGGCAGGCGGGGTCGCCAGGATCAACTACGTCAGACAGCTCCAGCCCGACAGCCTGCATGAGGGCCGCAGCCCTGGCCCTCCTCCATCCGGCACCGCTGCCGTTGCTACACGCGCGCACACCCAAAGGCTGCGCACCTCCTCCACCTGGGCGGGCACCATCACGATCGGGTCGCCCCCCAGGGTCTTCCAGTTGTTGAAGCCGTAGGTCAGGGTCGGCGCCGCGTGGCCCTGCGCGGGGTCGAGCCAGGCCAGCGGCCCCGCCCTTGTGTTATACAGCAGGCGGCCCTTTGCGCCCGCCACCAGCGGTGCGGGGCTGGTGGTCCAGAGAAGCGCTGTGGCCCCGTTGGCCTCAACCTTGCGCTGGTCCAGGGCGCCGTCGCGGTATGACGCGCAGCCGGACTTAAGCTCTGGGGCAGAAAGAGAAAGAGGATGGTGTGTCAGATTGTGAGTTGACAACTGTACTTTTGTTGCCAACAGGCAGGGGAGTTGGCTATTAGTGTGGTTCTCGCACAGAATGGCAGGCGGCCGCCCCCCCACCTCGTAACGATGCAACACGGAAGCCCTCAATACGGCAAGTCGCAGCAGGCAACCAACCCGTGTGACCCTGCTGGGCGCTCACCCTCCACTGCGGCGCGCGCCTCCTGGTCATCACGCTGCAGAGCCGCCGCCTTGGCAGCGGCTGCCGCCTCGCGCGCCGCCGCCTCGCGCGCCGCCCTCTCCTCCTCCTCGGCCTTTGCGGCGCGGTCTGCCGCGCCGTCAATCCACTCCTCAAAGGACCAGCCGCCCTCGGTGGCAAAGGTGAAGTCCTGGCCCTGCGCATGTGGGACGGCCGGCCGTGTCGATTGGTCGGAAGAGCGATCAAGCGTAGAGTGTGTCGCCCCTGTCCGTTCACAATACAAAACCAGCCAGGCACCGCCGCTCACCATGGCGGGCCCAGGAACCCTCTGGACCTCTCACAACACAGGCCGCAAGCACCAGGGTTTGGGTTCAGGGGTGCAGGGTTAGGGATGGCGGCGCACCTGGTTGTTGTCGTAGCTGCCAAAGTCGTCCCCGAACACCATGTTGATCTCGTACGCCTCCTCCGGGACCGCAACCTTCACGGACCAGAAGTCGCTGCCATCCACGTGGGGGACAGGGGCCGGCGCCAGCGGCAGCTTCTCACCGCCCAGCTTCCACTTGTTGAAGCCCACCTGCAGGCGCAGCTGCGATGCCCACCTGGTGACAGGAGGGAGCAGGCGGCGCGAGCGTTCGAGGTGAGCGCCGCGTCGCCCAGGCCGCCTCAGCATCACGATCGAGAACCCTGCCCTCTCGGTTCTTCATGCATACTGCAGAGTCCCCTGCCCTGTCCCACCAGCCTGCGCCCCTGCCCGCCCAACGGCGCTCAGGCTCACGCGGCCCCAACGGCCGCTGCACCGCGGCTCACTGGAGGCAGGAGCTCTGGGGCTTGTTGAAGTACACCACCACGTCAGACCCAGCCACAGGCACCTCGGGCACCGTGAACACCAGCCAGTGGTGGCGCTCCGCAGCCACCTCTGCCGGGTCATGGGACGCAACCAGCGCCGCAGCGTCGGATCGCAGCTTCGCCTCGCGGGCCGCGCGGGCGGCCTGCGCGCGACCGGGAGGGAGTGTGGCTTTGTCATGCTGCCACACTTTGATGTGCGTGATAGCTCCCAAAGAAGAGCAGCTGCCTCCACCACTTGCCGGCCTGAACGACAGCCAATGTTGCCCCAGTAAACCTGCTGCAGCTGACGAGGTGCAGGCAATCGGGTTAGAGCCCCCCACCGCCTCAGTCCAGCACTTCATGCGTCCCGGGTCCCACCTTCTCCTGGGCGCCCAGCTGCGGCGCCATGCGGTCCGCGTAGTCGCCCCCGCCCCGCCCGCGCTCGTCAACCCAGTGGTCCGCCTCTTCGGCAGCCGCAGCCGGCGCCTGGCTTGCCGCGGCCCCTAGGGCGGCGGCCGCCGCCGCTGCCTGCTGCTTCCACTGCTGCTGCTTGGCGGCAGTCACAGCCGGGCTGCTGCCAACAACTTGTGCTGGTGGCGCCGCAATGCCGCTGGCGTGTGAGCCGCTGGCCGCATTGATGCTACTGCTGCTGCTGCTACTGCTGCTGTGGTGTGTGCTACCACCACTTGCCTCCACCTCCTCGCCGTCTGCGGGCGCCAGCGGGTCCATCGCGAGACCATTGGCGGCGGCGAGCGCGCGTATGTCGTCGTACTGGCGGCGCAGCGCGTCCACCTGGTCGGCGGGCAGGCGGCCCGCGTCCGCCTCCAGCAGGGAGCGCAGCTTGCGGTTCTCCTCGGCCAGCTCCGCCAACTCTCCATCACTCAGCTGCTGCGATGCGGCACGCGCCTGCGCAGGAAAGGCAAGGTGGCCGGAGCCAGGCATAGCGTGGTGGGGTGCAGTGGCATGGTCATGTTTCAGCGCTTCAGTGCGGTCCGCACTTGGGTGCGCATGCGCCGCAGGAGGCGGGGGCGCCAGGGAACGACGGATCTAGATCTGGGATCGGCGCTATTGCGTCACATGATAATCTTGCAGCGCTTCTGGGTGTTCGTCACCAAGGCGCCGCAGGGGCACCCCAAACCTGCACCGCGCACTGCGCAGCGGCGCTGATGGCGGTGGTGGTGTGGACGACAGCACACCCACCGCTCTGGCCACAAGCCCGATCCTAGGCGGACGGCATGCTCCGAATTGTCTCGCGATCAATGGGCGCGCTCCTGCTGCGAAACGGGACAAGAGCGGGTCAGCGTCTCGAAGCGCTCCATACCGGGCCCCAGCGCGAGAAGCATTAGATTCAATTATACCCGATGGGCTCTTTCCAAGGCGGCAGCCCCTCGCCAGCATCCTGCCCGCGGTCGTTGCGATAGAGCGATCGAAGAACCGACAGATCGCCGTGCGAATATCGAGCTGTAAAAACCAGGGTTAATTGCGATCAGATAATCAACTTGAGCGCGACCTGACGCGGACAAGGACAGGTGCTGGGCAACGCGTCGCATCCGTTGCGCAGTTGATGAAGCTGCCGCAGCGCTAGGTTGGGCTTTATGGGCGGATCGATAAGCGCTGACGGGAGCCATGTGCCCATCAAGCTTCAGGGGTTGAACGAGGGTCCTGAGTGCCCACCCAAAGCCAGGCGCGGCCTCGGCCGCTCAACCTGTACAAGACATGGACAAAACGACCGCCCAGCAGCGCCTGCCCTCCCCCATCGACTGAGAAGGGTGGGAGGAAAAGGACAACGATTGAGTCTGCTGCTGTGCGGTCCACCGCTCAGAGTCAGTGCAAACAAGATTGCGGTGCTAATGGCTGCGAGGCAGAACTCGAGCTCAGGGCAGGCTGCACTGATGCGTGAGTGTGGGGCAGGTTTGCACAGTCAATATCCTACCCACCTGGGCGAGAGGAGGATCGAGGTGTGGTCAGCCCCGCCGCCCTAAGGAAAGAACAGTGTTTTACCTGGTGTGAGGTGGCAGGACACCACGTGTCACCCAGAGGGCAAAGTGCATGCCGGGGTGCTTGGGGCGGCGGCCTTCAGAGGTCACAAGGCTGTCTCCAGCCCGGGACGGACGGTTGCCACGACCGGTCAAGGGTCTGGGGTCCCTCACCAGCTGTTATGCATCCAGCCGCGCAGAGCCACTGCTATCAAGAAAGCGACACGTGACTTGCGCCCCTGTTCGGCGAGCCCGACAGCAGAGGGGTGAAGGTGGTCACCTGGTGTCACCCCGGCCAATCTTGGGAGAACAGTGCCTGGAAACGCGTGGCACAGATTAACAGGACGCCTCAATCGTGTTGCGGCAGCGTACTCACGAGGTTGAAGTCAAAGAGGGCATGAGGGTGCGGGGCGCGCATGGTGGCGGCTGTCCGCCGTGCCTGAACACACCTCATGAACAGTGCTGTGACGCGATGTGTGAACAAACTTGCAAGCACCACACCCCACATATATCACAAAAACACACGCACACGCACACGCACACGCACACGCACACGCACACGCACACGCACACGCACACGCACACGCACACGCACAC